TTTTAATGATGGAGAAAGACATCAATCACATGAGTGGATGATATTGCTAAAATGTAGTCTGTTGTAGGGTGAAGACTTCTTTCTGCATTATCTTCTGGTCCTGTTGTAATATTATCCTGGGTAATGAATGCCTCCAGGATACACTAGCATCATTAGGTTAAGGTATTTGGGTGTATGGTATCTTAGGATATAGTTCTGTTGAAAAGATCACTCAATATATGTAGATTTTGAAACCCTAATTGTTTGTAAAACTGATGAATTCATAAGAAGAACTGAACATGAAGAACTCCTGTTGGCTTTATTTAAGTCTCTGAAGTTTTTGGGAAAGGCTTGAATTGTGATTAAGTATCAGCCTGTGATGGTATGGGAGGGTACATGGACAAAGACATCTTGGCATCAATGATTCATGCTGAAATTACTGAAACAGACCCATGGTGAATGTCACTAATGACACTTGTTCCTTATAGGCCTTTATGGAAAGAAGGCAGACATAAATACTGGACTTATTTTCAACCAAATACTTGATGCCAACTTGACTTGGCATCAGGGAAAACTTTTAATTGGTGTGGGTGTAAGTCCAGGGATTCAAAGTAAAATATCCCATTATCTGTAGATGAAAAAGAAGCAGAGGGCACATTATAAATTATATTTGAAGCACCACTTCCATGGGGTAGCCTAGATTTCTGTGATTCTTAAAAATGGATCGACAGGTGGAAAGAGGTCAATACATTTGAAGTTAGATGGCTGAAGGGAAAATATTTTGTGAGGATGACACTGTAACATTTCAAGAAGAAGAATTCCATCAAAGTCAGTATTCATATTTCACATAGGAATGAAACACATTTTACTAATAATTCTTTAATCATTAACTATAGTCCTATTTCTTTCTGGGAATTTATGACTTCGGTTAATTCTCTTATTTCTTTCTGGGAATTTATGACTTCAGTTAATTCTCATAATAAAAAAATCATTTTAATTGTCCTTTTTGAAGAAAAAATATATTTAATAAGGTTAAGTCACCTTAACTAACAGCATTCTGTGAGAAAAAGAAAAAGAAACAGAACAGAAGAAAGTAAGTAGCCATCCATTCAAATTGTCCTTCTCATTTGGTAGCATACAAACACTGCCCATTTTCTGGTCTTCTGCCATCCTTAGAATGCACCGAAAAGAAAACCAACAAACCAACAAATGTTTTGCCTTCTTTCATCAGCACCAAAAAGAAGTCTGCATTTCAAACATGAGGGCATCTGAAGCTATGCATTCAGCAAGGAAACAAGGGAGAGGAGGAAAACGTGGATGGCTGGCATGAGTAGAAAGGAGCAAAGAGAAACCACTGACTGCTCTTCCTTAGACAAGCAACAAAAAAAAAATTGCTAACACCTAGTCTAGTTCTTAGTCCACTTACTCCATTTATTTGATAATTTTTTGAATACTTGTGATTTTGGCTGTATTAGAAATGTTAGGAGATAGTTGTGAAGACAAACCAGGTACTGAATGCACACTTAGCCATTTGTGATAATCAGAAGAGCGTTAAAATGTATTTTTGAAAGCAGCCTTAGAAACATGATCAACAGACATTATTTCAGAGTTGTCACACTACAAGAAACCTGCAGAGATGGTATTCCAAACAAAGCCCAGAGCAAGTGGAAAGCTCTGGCTACAAACCATGGGGCAAATTTCAGGAAGCAGCTAAGGTGGTGTGAGTGGCATTTAGGAGCAAAATGGAGTCTTAGCATGATAGAAAGGGAGTCACCTGATTCCAGCATGCCTTGCTGGTTATAGCAAAGGATCTCTGAAGAGTAATGATGATGGAACAGTGGGAACAGTTTTCTCTTTGCACTATTGCCATTTCTGTCTTTCAAGATCAACGTCCCACAGGAGACACAAAGGCTGAACCTGACCTTTGCTGGCTTAATAGCAACATTCAGTCTTAAGCCTAAGGGCTGAATTCCCTTTCTGGGATTTTTTTCCTCTACTACTGAAATGCGTTTTGGTCATTTTTGGGAGAGCCCTCACCACCTCCTAAGTTCCATGGTTTTATTCGGCACATTGCATGTGATATTGCATAGCACTTCGCTGATAAGATCATTAATGGTTTTTCTAGATGTTATTAATTGTTTTTCATCCATTTATAAATTGTGCCTCTGCAAACTGGCCCCAGGGTATAAGTAGAAAAAATTGAGCTTTGATTATAATAAGTAAAGTATTATTAACAAAAGCAATTACAGCTAATAGCTTCAACAGAGGAAAACAAAATGATTGCCTTTAGTGCTTTCCCACTGGGTAAACCAGATTAAATCACTCACAGGAAAGAGAAATCTTTATTTTTGGTCCCACCAAATGTTATAAAAAGATGTTGCCTTGGGGTGTCTCTATCTTTTGTTTTGTTTTTGTTTAGAAACAGCAGCTAAGGTTTGGACTATATAATGTTATTACTAATGAGTTACTGAGATGAGCAATTTGACAAGAGAATTCAATATTTTAATTCAGGTATTATTTGTCACTACTACAGAGAAGACAATTGAATTTCAGGGAATTCTTCTAACTTAACCTCAGCTTTACAGTTAAAAAGCAGGCCAGTGGAGACTGAAGACAAATTATGCTGCCTTCACTCAGTACTTTGTTTTCCTCTTTCCTTTGAAGTTTATGACCTGTATTAGTGATGCTATGTGACATTAAAATAACATAAAATAATCAGAAAAAACCCTAGCTTATTAGTTTTTATTTCTTATACTTTCCTACCAAAACCATTAGTTTACTTGTTTCTATATCTGTTTAGGACATGATTGAAGGTATCAAGAGCAGTGACAGGGTTCTGATTTTCACTAAGAAAACTTGGCTCAGAAAGCTTGAGCAACAAACACCTGCTCACAAGTGTTTAGTGGAAGATGTGTTTGAGGTCAGATCTTTCTGTCTCCAATATTCACTCAATTGCCCCAAAGACCTCCAGGTTCCTTCCTTCCTACCTCCCTGTGTTTATACAAGTCAGTCACATCTGTGACAAAAAACACAATCAGTGGTGAGTTCTTTTAACAGAAATATTCTGGTACAGGGAGATATGCGATTCTCCAGGCCTTACTTGTCTTTGGCTACTTGCAGAATTTAATATCATGAAATAGCCCATTAAGTTGTGCCTTTGCCTATTCACATAGTTAGAATGAAGTCTCATTTGGGAATCCTGTCAGTGAGTATGCATACCTATTTTCCACATAAACCCCTTTCTCATGCATTTGGCTTCCTTACCCGCTCTCAACTTCTTTGGAATTATCCTTACCCAGTGATTATCCTGGGGGAAGTTCTATGTGCCAGAAAAAAAATCCTTCCTTCTCTACCTTCTACTGTATTGAGTCAACACAGACAAGTGGAATAATGTAAGTTAAAATATGAATGTCTTCACATTTTGATTTGAGCACCTAACTTTTATTCAAGACCATGGCAGGTTGAACTGATCCATCATTGTTGTATTTAAAATACTCTGCTTTAAAATAAAGGTCCCTGTGAAGGCTGATTCTGTGACCCTTACAATTCTAGGTAGATAAATTTGGAGAGAACAGAGGCAGAACCTGCTTGGCCCATCACATGGGAAATGAGTGCAAAGCAACTCCATTCTTCTCTGAGTTTCTAGAGAGAGGAGGAGGAATGGAAAGAAGATGGGAGAGATAATAAGAATAAACAGGAGAATGCATACCCCAACTCTTTCCAGCACAGAAATTGCACATAGCCAAATCCTATCCTAAAAGGTTCCATGAATTCTGACAAAAAAGGTAGTGTACAGAGGGCAGAGAAGCGCTGGTAGAGACAGAAGCATAACCAGTTTAAAAGTCATGGATTTATAAAGAGGGTTACACACAAATTTCCTGGTAAGGATCCCCTTCCCTTCAGGCGTGTCTATTCTCTTATTTGAGGATTTGTATACAAAAGCCAGAAAATCTCTGCCAATCATTGCAGGTTACATAAATGAACTAATTTTCTGGATATACTCATGTTTCACATTGTTTTTCCTCTCCCTCCTCCAAAAATTCTGAGGATTTCTCATCCAATTCTTTGCCTTGGTTATGTTTATTCTTGAACTTCCTCTTTGGTGTGTGTCCAAACCTCAGGGTAACTTAGAAGAGGCTACACTGTTCAGACATTATTCATTTTGCGAAGTGACTCACAGATGAAAAGTGTCTTTTCTCTGTCGGAAGTGATAGTAGAATAACATTTGATCCAGAGCTTGAACTATGGAAGATTACAGGAACCATGCAGAAAACCGAGTGTGTGTAAGCCCTCCTAACTTTAAACAAAGTGGAAGTGATTTTGTGCCTCCATGAGAACTTTCTCTCTTCCTGATTCTCTGTTACTCGATCCTGTTCTATTTTTTACTTATAGTATTGAGATTGCCCATGAATTTGTTGAGCATGACTCATCAAACATAATGCAATTCTCTGCTGCAATGCATTAATGCTTCCAGAGCAGCCATGTCTTAGCAATATCAAATGTCATTACATAGTATATGAAGTGTCGGAAAAACAGTGGGATGACCTCACTGCTCATACATAGAAAGGTCTCTCAATTAGATGGCAGTTTAACTCCTACATGTGGCCCAGAGTAGAGTGCTTTTGTGCCCTTCTAAATGCAGACACATGTGCTTGGCAATGAAATTATGGAGGTCATAGTCATAATAGTATAGTTTTCTGTTTACACATGTAGACACTTTATCTTTAAAACTTTTGATTTTCTTCCAATTCATAGTACATTTATTCATTTTCTGAATGATTTTTCTCACCTATAGTCAATTCTGATTTATACAAATAGACAAAGCATAATAATTTCAGTTCTATCTATCCTATCTATAAGAACATGTTGCAAACAGGTAAAATAAAACATTACTAGATATTATACTTATGGATATATGATCTTCTGAATGGGCCACACTTTTTTCCTAGTAAAGGATGAAAGAAATAGATACTAACAAATGCTTGAGGAGTGGTAATTAAGGATTTCCCTGTCTGTCTCAGGTGGGAAGCATTTGACAGATCAGCTGGCTAAATGGCCTGCCCCATCCTGCATGTGTCCTTCCAAGATGCCAACTAGATTTGTGTAAGTATAGTTTTTTATAAAGCTCTTATTTAAAGTTCAAATCCATATAGTTTTCAATTATTGACCAAGACTTTCTGCCTATAGCTAAGATAAATACTTAATAATCTAATTCAGTTATAAAACCCACTTCCTTATTTGTGAACAATGAACACGATAAATCATGCTCTGGTGTGAACTTTATTCCTGTATCATTTCAGCAGTTGCATCTTCTCATCTGGTATTAATTCAGAGCTTACTTATTTAAAAGACAATACTTATTTGTCATTGAGGTTTTCTTCCAGATATTAGACATGCACGGTACATTGTTTTATATTTCTTTTGATAATAGCAGCTTTATAATGTCTGTGTAAAGAATGTGACTCATATTTTTCCATCATCTAACATTTTCACAAATATGTGGTAGTATATGCACTTAAAAATGTGTATTTTAGTTACATTGTTAAGCAAGAAGGCTGGCAGAGTTCGCAGAATGAAACACTTTTCTTGTTTCTATCCAGCTCAGTGTCCTACTCCACATCTATACGAGTGAATTTAAGCCATTTTATTTTCCACATTCTGTAATATTTAAAATGATAAAACTCACTCCCAGAACTACATTGGTAACACTTAACACTTTAAGTTTAGGAATGCACTGAGCAGTCAATGATAAAAAGATGCCACTATTGTTGTAGTGCCTTGACTAGATTATCTGTCATCAGCAACTATATTTCATTCCATGTATCTGTAGTGTTTAGACTAGTATTATCACCAGGAAGCACACACACACACACAAAGGACACTTTCTTTTTGAAAATTTATCACCTGTCTTTCCTTAATCCACACGTCAATATGCTTCTACACACATAGGCAGTGATAGGGATATCAATATGGGTAGAGCACAAGAAAAGAAGCTTGTTCACTCAAAATGGTCTTATCTCATGATGAACATGGTAGAACTACAGTGTTCTCTGGAACAAGTAATAATTCTAACACTTGATCACTTTTCTCTATCTGTTGGCCAGTGTGTGCTAGTCTAAGTATTTCACATGTACTATTAATTTTATTCTTAAACAACCCAAGGAGTCCACTACTAAGATTATGGTAATGTAAAAAATAGACAAAGATGCACAGTGAGGTAGAATAGGCCAAATAGAGATTAGTACTTATAAGAAGTGGAAATAAGACTTTAACTTAGCAGATCCGATTTCTTGAACTGTTAATCAGTTCATTTTTTGAAATTACATACTCCAAAAGAAGCAAGTATTCATTCTGTATATGTAAAGCAAGTCTTTCCACTTCTCAGTTGTTTGCTCCACAAATTTTTTTGGTGAGTAACACACAGTAGGCTCTTTGTGAAAGTTTACTGAATCAGTACATTAAGCATTTGGTCTTCTGAAACGTTTCATGAAATTTACAGGCCTTTTTGAAAAACAGACTAGAATAACTGGACACATTCGGCGATGGGTCTAAGATAGATCAGTGGAAAGCACTGGATATTGAAGTCTACTACAATTAATCTCTGTACTTGATAGTTTCATTTTTATATGAAATATTATGGCTTGAAGAAATTTGTAGAATAAAAAATACAGCTCTTATTTATGCTGTCTCTGTTGTTTCTTGCCACTGACTTACATATACCCAAAAGGAGGAAGGGTGGAGCACAACTCTGGGCTCTGGTGTCAGCCTTAGAGCCACAAGGCTAATTGCATCATCCTCTGTGTGGTTGGATAAAGGTCAGCATTGAAGTCTTGACAAGCCATGGAGCTATCAAAAGGCCATAAACCAATTTAGCTGCTAGGGTGGGGCAATTGAATTGCCCCAGGGCCACTTTCTCTCTTATTCTTTATTTATACTTTCTCCACTACCTCTCTAGTCCTCATGAGAACTCAGCCTTGTGTTAAACCAGTTTAAGAGCCTGCGAATTATATAAAGAGATCAAAGCTTACTGGGAAGTATTTTTTTCTTCCCTTTATTGTTTCATATTGTATATTCCTCGTATTTTTTTAAACTTTCTGTTCTTGCCAGAATTCTTGCCTGAGAATTTGCTTTCTTCTTCCAAACCATGCAAGATGTCTGTGTGTTTGTGTGTATGTGTGTGTGATTCATCTTCACCACAGCATGAAAAAATTGTGGGTTTTGTCAATTTATTTTTGGAGTTTGCATATAAATTGTTGAGTTTTATGATGGAATTTTATGCAATATATCAATATATTATTATATATGAATACAAAATGTACTATTATAATATATAATATACAATATATATGAAATATACTATTATATAATCAAATAATAAAAATTACCCTCATTTATGAGACCTAGGCATATTTTATGTTACTCACCTATACCCAAAAATGTTACTTATATCTCTCACTAGAAAAATAATAAATCAAGAGAATTGACTACTGCCTTCAAATTGTACATAGCACATTTACACATCTATATATCTTTCAATCATTAATCTACTGTCATTTTTTTCTCAGTATGTCATTAATTACAATGTGCAACCATTTGCTAGTAGTAAGAAAAATGTGTTTGTTTGTTTTAGGCAAAATACCTGAACTAGCCGGGCGGTGGTGGTGCACGCCTTTAATCCCAGCACTCGGGAGGCAGAGCCAGGCGGATCTCTGTGAGTTCGAGGCCAGTCTGGGCTACCAAGTGAGTTCCAGGAAAAGGCGCAAAGCTACACAGAGAAACCCTGTCTCGAAAAACCAAAAAATAAAATAAAATAAAATAAAATAAAATACCTGAACTATATTCTAGTTCTGTTCAATGAAATTTAGTTATTATTATTTTTGTCACTTTTATTACTGCTACATTACTACATACAATAAACCAATTAGTAAAACTGCTCACTAAAGAAAGTGTAGTTCTGCTAATGAATCATTCCATGCTCTCTAGCCAATAAGAGTTTACATGTATCTTAGTTAGTTGTCCATTATTGTGATGAATAATAAGAGCAAAATCAGCTTTGGGAGGAAAAGATACTTTCAGCTCATTGTTCCATATCAAAGTCCACTGCTGAGAGAAGTCATGTCAGCAACTCAGAGCAGGAACCTGGAGGCAGGCCATAGAGGAATGCTGCTCATGTAGGATATTTGATCACAGTGTGTGAAGATGAGTCTCTTTCTTGCCTGTATTAGGCACCTTCTGATTGGCTTAATAAAGAGCTGAATGTCCAATAGCTAAGCAGAAGCAGATAGGTGGGACTTCTGGGGAGAGGGGAGAATCTGAGAAGTGGCAATTTCACCAGTGAAGAACAGAGGAAGTCAGATGTACTGTATTGAGGAAAAGTAACAAGCCACGTGACAGAATGTAGACTAATACAAATGGGTTGGTTTAAGTTTTAAGAGCTAGTTGGGAACAAGCTAAAGCTAAGGCTAAACTTTCATATTCAATAAGAACTCTTCCTGTCATTATTTGGGAGTTAGCAGTCTAAAGAAAGACCTGTTACATGCTACTTACTGTTTGCTCCTTGTAGCATGCTCAGCTTGCTTTGTTATAACACCCAGGACCCACCCCACCCCCCAGTGGTGGAACTGCCACATCAGTCATCAATCAAGAAAATGCATCATGGGTTAGCCTAAAGGCCAAATGGTGGAGGTATTTTCTCAATTGAGTTTCCCTGTTCTAAAATGACTCTAGCTTATGTCAAGTTGAAAAAAAATGGCCAACATAACATTTCTGGATGGTGTTCCTTTGGATCAAGCATTTGGATGTCAACCGGAGTTCTTTACCCTTTTCACTCTGCATGTACTCATACGTATCTATTTGTTGCCTGGTTATACAACTTTAGAAAATTTCCCCTTTCTTTTTTCTGCCCATGGAAGTCTGATTTCTACAGTCATAAAATCCTTAAAATTAGGACACCCTTGAAGCCACATAGAAGACATCTAATACTGAGAATAGCTCTTGGGAAAATCATTTCTCTTTTGTAAACAAATCTACCCTCCAACAGAGATACTGCTTATTATTGTGTTGCTATGATGATATACCTGTCAAGAAGCAACTTAAGGAAGGCAGAGTTTATTTTTTCATCACTGTCTGAAGATCCAGACCATTACAACAGGGAAGGAGTGGTGTTAAGAGCAGGTCTTGACTTGCCAGTGAGAAAAGCAGGCAGAGTCACATTGCATGCAAGTCAGGAAGTAGAAACATAATACTTGTGTGTGGTGTTTTAAATAAGTATGGCCCCCATAGCCTTACACAGTTGAATGCTTAGTCAACAGGGAGAGGCACTATTTGAGAAGGATTAGGAGGTGTGCCCTTGTTGGAGGAAGTATGTTATTGGGGGTGGGCTTTGAGGTTTCAAAAAACCACATCAGGCCCAGGCTTTCTCTCTGCCTTTCAGCCTACAGATCAGGATATAGCTCTCAGCTCTTGCTCCCATGCCTGTATGCATGCTGCCTTGCTCCCCACCATGATGATTGTATCTGGAAGTTTTCCTGTATCCTACCCAGTCCTGTAGCCACTCAGACCCAAGTAATCACACAGAGGCTTATATCAGTTATGAACTGGATGACTTATGGCTCAAGCATCTCACAAACTGACTCTTATATCTTGAATCAATCCATTTCTATTAATCTATAAGTTGCCATGTGGCTGTGGCTTACCAGTATTTTCAAATCTTGCATCTCCTGCTACTGACTCACAGTGTCTCTAGAATCTGCCTTTCTCCTTCCTATCTCTTTCACATTTTCTACCTGTCTCTAAGCTGCCTTGCCATGGAGCAAATGGTTTTATTTATCAACCAGTCAGAGCAATACATATTCATAGTATACAGAAAGACATCCCACAGCACTTCCCCTTTTCTGTCTAATCCACAACCAAGGTTTTAACTTTAACATAGTAAAATTACATATAACAAATAGTTACCAAGCAAGAATTGCAGTTACAATATCTAGTTTATTTGTATTTGGCAAGATTAAAGAAAATATTTTGTCATCTATCCTATATTTGTAAGTCTAAAGTTTCATAACTAATTTATCTTTCATCATAACCAAGGAAAACTATAACTATTT